AGACATGGAATAGAAAACAACCAATAATGCTGTTGCTTTTGTCGACAACTGCATCGATTAAGTAATAAGCAAAAAAAGCACGGGATTATTGTTGCAGATGAAAAATGAAATGTTGTTTATGTATCGAAAAAATTTAGAATTATTTTAGAAATTATTTCTCTTTAGAAAATTTTAGGAATTATTTAGGAGGCTGGATATGAAAATTAATAATGCTCAGCCGTGTTTCTGTTAGTATATATTGACTTTAAAGGCGCGTGTGGCGCAGTGGTCGGAGGCGCCCTGCAACACACATATTGGATCGATTCCCGCGCCTGTAGCTCACCAAGCCTTCCATCTCTCCGGGTTCGGCAAATTAGCATCACACTTGTCTGGAAAGGTAGCAGCACTGGCTCGATACATCAGTAACCTACCGCGAGTCATTGTAAAGGCCAGATATGCATTCAATCACCTCCAAACGATGCTTAACAAAGTCGCATGCATGGCGCATCCCTCAGGGATTGATCAGCTTCGAGAGCTTTATCTTTTATCCTTTATATATCGATTTTGGTAAACCAACAACGCTGTGTGAGCTAAATTCAGTGGTTCGATATTTATTCGAATGAATATATCCTCGCATTTTCGTTAGCTATGCGAAAGTCTTCTACCGATTCTGCTGGCTGAAGTAGAAGATGTTAAGTACGAAGGAGTGACTGTGATGAAGAAAAATAAATGCCACAGTGATGCTAAACGATTCGGCTGAATGATGATATTTATAGAAACAGAGGTTACACCTTTGGTTAGAAAATGGCATTATGTAAATGCTCTTATACGGCGTTTGTGCTACTTCTTCGTAAGTAATACGTATTAGGAACAGGTCTGGAGAAGTGGTTAGAGGTACACAATACGTACTGGAACGGTCGTTAGTGCGATAGCAGACCGCGTGGTAACAAAGCCTTTCCTTCCTTTCAAGGTGGGAAAATGGTAGGTAGATTTCTTTGGGTAGTTAGAAACAGCGATTTGACACACCAATGGATCACTGAAAATCTCCGCCTAGGCCAGATATGCATTCAATCACCTCTGCTATGCCTAGTGAATTCGAATGCTTGGCGCATCTCTCAGGATTTAATCAACGAAAAAGGCTTGATGTTTTTCCTCTTTATTACGTGAGTAATGTTGGTATATGTTGCGGTCGCACTCGTCATTGAATAAAGCGGAGCTAGTCGTTTCTGTGGGGGTATCGGCACGAATCACGGCTCACTTCACTAATGGGCATTCTGATTCATTGACCTTGGCTCATCCGAGTCTCTTGTCCACGAACGGCTACCATCATAAATTGAGTGTGGTCATCGAGATGAATACAGTCGCCTGGAGTGTGTGCCACCTCAAGCAAGGGTGTCCTACCTTCCTGGTATTGTTCCATGACGAACGAGTGTCACATTTCACACCTCACCGCACCGTTGGCAAAGCCGTTGTCCGTCATCAGCAGCTCCTATAGCCTTTGCAGCTTCTATTCATCGATACTTTTATTGCAAACGTCGCCAATTCTACTTTATTTTGACGCTTTAGCTTTCTCAAACCGGCTTCCATTTAACCTCGGTAGGACGGATTAAGATAATTTCGTGGATTATTGAGGTGACACGAAGTTGATAAAGATGCTTATTCTGCAAACGTTTCGACGTCTTCGTCTTGCTCAGAGCCGATGATCCGAGTCAATGGTCCACAGTCGTACGTCTTCTCCGTGTTGTGTCTTCAGTTTCGTATGGAGCGGCTCTTCTTCAATGGAGCACAGCTCGAATGTGGCAACCTCACCTGGCACCCGCCCTTTTATACCTTGTTACCATAACTAACTAACTACCTAACTTTTTTATAACCACTGTTGCTGCTACGACTTTTGCTTTTCTCTATTATTCTGTTCCGAACTATTGTTCTTAATATGCTAACAACTGTCCAATACTTCGTTGAGTTAACTGCGCTAGTGGTTTTTCCACTAAATCATTGAGAGATAAGCAAAATGATTTATTGATTAACATTCCCATTTGTAGCTTTTCTCTCAGTTGATGAACTGTGGCGTAGAACTTGGTCCGCCTACTAAATAGTTACCAAAGCTAGGATGAAGTTCGGCAGGTCTGTCTGAGAGCACAAATAAAAGTTTACCAATTGAAAAGGACTGTTGCCTTGTAAGAAACCTGGTGGCTAGATGGTGAACTTCCCTTTCATTCGTTGAAATAAGCGACCCCAGAAACTCCACTGTTGCGAAACGTCATTCCTGCGTCAACACACGACCATTCTGTCTTTCTTTCGCTCTCCAGACTCCCTCATTATCTTTCTTCCCGTCCTACATCCGTTTTTGAATAGGATTACGGTGCCCTCAAAGCTAGAAAGTCCTGCATGATATGTTGAAATGTTGTTGAAGCAAAAAAGAATCTTTAAAACACACTTCTCCTCCATTTTATACATGCTTCCTATGTTTTGCTAAAACATGGTGACTAACGGTGTTCTTAGATGTTGTCTCTGATGCGAAGGTTGAAATTCAGTCATTCAGCAGGGTCCCCGACACTAAGAAACAGCTGGAAATTTGCACCAGGAAATCCGGCTGGAAGTAAACATGTAAACTAGTTCTAGGAATCACATTCGTACCGTTAACAGCATAGACCAGCTATCCAATGGCGACGACTTGCTAGAGCCCTAGCGCAACTTTCAAGACTTCACCGAAGGAGATGGAAGGTCTCACGAGCAAATTGCAAGTGAAATGGAATTTGTGTTAGGTAACACATGACTCGTTGCGATCAGTGAGTACGAGCCATTGTAGTACACGAGCATATTTTCTCATCGTATGAAGATCTTTTATGTGAGCTGGCAACACGTATCGTGCAGGTCCCAGCGCTTCTTCCACTTGACTGGTTTTCTTACATCCATCATCTACGAAGATCTTCGAAAGTTCGCACCCGGCTTTAGGAATTTTGTCACCTTCTTCATGAATGTCGTTGAATGCCAGGCGAGTTGACTTTTGTAACCAGTGACAAATCTCAGATAAATTTGGGGCCAATTTTCTGAATCCAGAGGGTTAGGTGGTTTTGTTTGCCACGGGCGACTTGTAAGCAATGCCATTTCTTTTTCGTAATTGGTTCCCAGCATCACCATCACTATCCTACCCGACCTTTCATGAAGATTCCTATTCCAATATGTATTCTTTCTTTGATGAGCTTACACGAGGTTGATAATGACATTTATTTTCGGCTAACGTTTCGACGTCTTCTTCTTTTTCAGAGCCGATGATCCGAGTCGATGGTCCACGCTTGTTATTCGTCTCGACGTGGCAGCTTCGCCTTCGTGTCGAACCAGGTCTTCCTCAGTGAGCCATCTCCTCGAATGAGGCATCCTCACTCAGTGATGCCCTTTTACACAGGTTGCTGATGGTGGATAGCTGTGATTGTTCGGTGATAGTGTGATAATAGCTTGTTTTTCTCGGACAATCAAACCTGCAGAAGACGAAGACGTCGAAACGTTAGCCAAAATAAATATCATTATCAACCTCGTGTAAGCTCATTAAAGAAAGAATACATATTGATTAGTGATATACCGAGGTTCAAGGAAAGTCGGTTTCGAAATATTCCCATTCCAGTCAAAATTTTCGTACTCATCTGTTACTGTATTCAGAAAGAAGTTGTCCAAACATTTAATTTCTACGAATATACTTCATTCAATCGACTAAAAGCTATCTCATGCACCTGATTTAACTCTTCCTCCATGCCGTCTTTGTTGAGGACGTTTGTGCCACATTGCCCGTCGTCCTAGTCGATGACATCATGCTTTGTTCACTAAGAGTTTTCCGTCCGTGGTGGATTCTCATTAATTCTCTCGTTTCCACATCGAAACCCTTCAATTAAGATGTATAGAATTAGACGGCCTCATTTAGAAAAGTCGTTGTTTAATCCTTTTAAGTCCGCATGTTGTCTATTCAGCCATAAATTCGACAACCTCAATATTAATGAGGAAAAGACAGGCCGCAGTTTTTTAAAAATATCTTTTGTGCTTTGTGTAAGCAAATCTTCTAGGTGCTGGTTATCGTCAAATGACGTCATTAAAACTCCTTAGAATAGAATACCATTTTTGAATTTTTAATGGTGTTGCTATAAAATTAGACAAAATTTCTATGACGACTTAGTCAACAAAGTTTTAGCTTATGAGCTCTATGCAGCGAGAATGTGAGAACTTCGAGTTAATTAAATCTAATACTGTTTGATGGAGGGAAAGTGGAAAGCGCAGTGGTTAATGATACCTGCTGCACCAATCATTGCTAGTTCATACCACTTATGATGACGACAAGCTTCTCAAGTGGGAGCTGAGCACAGAAGCAAATCCTTAGGTATTCGTAGACAACGGCTGCGAGAAGCCAAACTGAATGAATGAAGTGCTCAAGATATGTGAATTCAGGTTGTATAAAAATGGAAAGTCCGAATACCAGGGAAATAGAAGGAAAAAGAAATACCAGGTTCCACCATCGTTCTAGTATCAAACTAGTCGCATGCTGGAAAATCTCCTACCGATCTTCAAGGGCGGCTACTGCTTGTGGTGGTGATGACCTGGGGCAGACTTTGGTTAGGCTGACCTCGGGACTCCAACGAACCAAAGTACCTAAACCATTAAAACTCCGAGAAAGAGAGAATTATGCTGGGGCCAGCCCAGCCAGTGAACACGGGCCATCTAGCATCCAACTAAGTAAAAAGGGAAGATTATAGTAAAAATGTTTAACTCAAAATCGACGGCCACGAACACTTCCCTTATCGTGTAGCAAATTCATGCGGAAGTTCACTTTAAATTGCAGCTAATTTCAAGTTTTCTCGAATTCACAGTCTCAGTCGTCTGACTAAATGTTCCTCTGCGAACATGAAGAAGACCCTTCGAGTCAAATGGCGGCTTCTAGACGATTGTCTTGGCACAAAACGACACCCCACCGCTTCGTAAATGAGAATCCGTTCCCTATTGCTGCCGTTCCCCACCACGAGCCAGCTCCTCGTAGATCACACAGGCACTGCCACCACCCGATCGCTGCAGCGCATGACGACGATCAAGCACCCACCCATACTGCATAACACGGCACCATCATCATTTCGTTGATGAACACCCGCTCGCGATTGTCGCCGGTCCACACCGCGGGCCAGGCGACCAGGCGGGCGACCACCCATACTGTCAGCCGTTCCGCGTCTCTGTCCCCCGCCCACTCTGTCGTCTGCGTGCTGACCACGGCAATGGCCGGCGCTCTGCGCGTCCGCCGGTTGCGCGCTCTCTTCGAGCGTCTTGCCGACGCCAATTCAAATTCCTCGGCGGAGATTCAAATATGGCAAGCAGCCGCCAACCGCATCGTTCGGTTCCCGGGTGGCGACGATTCCTGGGAAATCTTCGTGTTCGTCGTCGTGCCCGTCCGTCACGCTCGCCATGGGTCCCACTATTTTGCCATCACTCATTTTTACCTTTGTCTTTCTTCTTTTTCATCGTCGTTTTTACTTCGTGTTTTCTTGTTTGCGTGTTACTTCGCCTTCCGTTTACATTACTCTTCCGATTCCAATTCCGCTATCGTTTGGTGCGGTTTTGTCGTAATGATGTTCCAAGCTGTTAGTGAAGTGATTCCTCTTGTTTTCTACCCGAAACTTCATATCTATTGCTTTCAAGTGGAATCGGCGACGATTCTTTGTGAAGAAGTCATAGCACACTTTGGTGGGGAGGAATTCAGGTGTATAAGTTATAAATTGCTCCATCAACTTCCTTGCGGTCCACGACGAGTGGTGTTTTCGTTTCCTGGAACGGTTTGTATGGGGAGTCTTCTTCGACCAGCAGCAAAGCATTTCGATGTCCATATTCCATTGTGCTTAGACTAATTTCTACCTTCCTCTCTTCTTTCGACCTACAAATGTTTGTTTTTTGACCATTTTTGCCGTAACATTGTCTACTTCGTGGGAACTGCCATCTATTCCGGCGAACGAAGAGGTGACCCCACCTAGCTTGAACTGAACATCTTCCCATCCGTAATTTTTACGAACTGCTCTCACCTATTTGGTTATTTTTTGTTCCTACTTTTCTACAAGAACTGGTATGAAGTTGAAATTTCTGGAATTTGAAGTGTTATTGATTAGTCATGGTGGAGTCCGATCAATCTAATGATCCCCGTTTTATCGCTACTGGGTCGTGATCCACCCCACTGAGCCAATCTAATAATCCCAGCACTCGAGCGCAAAGGTATTAAGCCTGACCTTCGGCATAGAGCATGGCTGAATGAGACCTGACCTACGAACGCTGCCATTCCTATTTCCTTTGGCATCTGGCGAAAGCCATTTAACCTTCCGTTCCCTGCTCGTAGAAGAACCCCAATGAAAGAACATTTTCGCGAAGTAGATCTGTTTCATGTTTTTCCTATGATTTTGCTACAGCATCACATCATTCTCTGTTCAACCTCTGGGTGATCAAGTTGGTTTTTTGAAGAACGTTCACTACACTTGGCAATCCACTCTCTTATCCGATCCCGTAAGTTATGGTCATACTCGCACAAGGAGTTTAAAGCAGTCCACCTAATGATGTTTTGCTAGGAATTACTTAATGGAATAGGTTGTTAAGTGATAGAAAACACTTTTGTAGTAGTCAGGATAGTCGTTTTCGTGAATCTTTCTCTGTAATGTCTTTCTGTATTGTTTGTTAATAATTGGGTTCTTCTCCATCCAATGATTTACTGCTTAATGGTAACTCAGGACGTTGTCAGCTATCGAGATGCAATATACTGAGCTGTGTTTAACCCGCCTACCTACACGCTCTCCCCACACACATAAGTACACAGGGTTTTCACAAACCGAGAACGATTTCGACATTCCATCTAGAAACTCAGCAAAAATCTAACTCTTGTCAGCGACCACAACTAAACTGTAACCAGCAAAGAGGCTAGGCGTCAGATGGTGATTACATGAGAGGCCTTAGTAGCACGGATTTTGAGACTTCAGAGAAAAAAATTTTGTCAAATCAGCAGATTTTTCGTAGGATGGGAATCGTGCTGAGACCCACACAGTTTTTTGTGATTTTCAGCGGTAGTTCATAGGGGAAGTCTACCTTCAGATAGATGTCGTATTTCAGTTCAGCGACCAGCCTTCCCTTCCCTATGGTCATATGGTGTAGTTGAAACCGATCCTCTTCAAGTAAGCAAGGTACACCTCTGTTTTGCATCCATTCATATCTTCTGTTCTTTACTTGATGTACGATGTCGAAAGGAGAAAAAAGACACCTAAAAAACCCATCCATATGGAAATTTCGCGACCTGGCCTTACCGTACGGTCTATTCTGAATGCACTCCACAGTCCACTTTGAAGTTGTTCCGTGCGAAACCGTCGACGTCAATAAAATATCCTAACAAGTATGAATAGGAATAATATCATCATTTTTTATGTGAACGGGAAGCAGACAGAGTTGTTTCGAGTACCCATGAATGTCCAGCTCTCTAATGATACTGTGACGGTGGTTTAGGATTATTTAGACTATAAATGTGGAAATTTACACAGCATTGTTAACATTTTGACATCAGACATTCGACCTTCGATTTAGTAGCAATTTCGTGCTTAAAATTTCCTATTCAAAAATCTCTCACTCTTAAACGGCTTCCGTAGGGACCCTTCACGCCCCGAGCTTAATCACTTCTCATCCCTCCATAACTCAACCATGACGTCATTCATCAGCAGTAGACGATTGATTCTCTTCGCGGCAATTACAGGGGAGGTGGATTGTAAGCGTGTGGTGGCGCGGTGCAGAGGTTCTCTGGAATACCTACGTGGTCGTTTGCTCGTTGCTCAACATCGGCAAACCAAGTACTTCATCGTTTCGATTTGGCAAATTGGTGCTAGACTTACTTGGGAAGGTAGAAACCTTATCTTAAACACTTTTAAAGTCATTTTATACACAAAATACGCATTCAATCACCACTGGAAGGTTTAAAGGAATCGAATGCATTGGGAGTTGATCAGCATCGAATGCTTTGTCCTTTCTGGAGACGGTTGATGAATTCTAACTGAAAAATTCAGTCAACTCTACCCACCTGTTATCAATGTCTCGGATGTCCACATCTAAACTCGACCTGACCTTGGCAACAGGCCAGTATGCTCACGATCACCTCTGATGAGGGCTAAGCACTGTGATTTTCGAGTTTGCACGGATGACAGAGCACGTTCCAGCGCTATCTGTGCTACGAATCTCCAGCTCCAGCTATAATTGGCTGGTTATTCTAGTACTGGTATGTAGGTAATTACGGATGACACTGCCCTCAACGAATGTCTGCCGTGCTATTAGCGTCTACCGAGTGTCGTCCTCACCGAGGAGACTGACGATGACGTGACGCTGCCGTGTGCGCTGATGTTATCGCCACCGCGCCCATGCACCTTCTATATACAGGTTTTGTTTTATAGCACTTTTTATCGATATAGATAGAATCTACACCATTGGTCACCTCTTTTTCTCAACACAGATTTTTCTTGGCGCTTCTTTTCAAAAAAAAAAAGCGTGAATATCTTCAATCTGTCATCCGCTAACATCTTAGCGCCATTATCGATGTTTCTGAGTGTAAGAATTGCTTGAATACTTAAACAGTTCTTTTTGAAGAATTGTGCAAGGTACAACCCACTTTACGTTTGCTGGCACTTTTGTGGTTTTGGGGAGATTTCTTATCTGAAGTCTTGAAATGCTCGTAGTATGGAGTTCTCTGTTCTCTCACTGCACAGATAATCGTCGAGCGTTGTGGATTGGAGTTAAGTTTTCCAATGAAATCAAGGTAAAAGATCGATTGCTGTCAGATCAAGGAAAAACACCATTGTCATGGTTATGTGGAAGTTTTAAATGTGCCCCTGGATTTGAACATGCCGAATATGAATGCCAAAGAAACCGTCATTACATGTGGGAACCTTTTCTATTGTATATGTTTTTGACACCTACTTGGATAGTTGGATGGCCCATCCTCACTGGTTATGTGGGCCCCAGCACGATCTCCATTATTTCGGAGTTTTGCTGGTCTACCCATTGTGGTTCCCGAGAGCCCCGAGGTCAGCCAAGCCAAAGTTTGCACCAGGTCGTCACCACCGCAGGCAGTCACCGCCCTTGTGGATCAAAGGAGCATTTGCCACCATGCGAACGGTTTGATATCAGGACGGTCATGGATCCTGGTAGTGGTTTACACTTGGCTGGGCTTCCTTATCGAAACGCCGAACTCCTGAACTTGGAAGAGCCTGCCAAGGGTGGATTCCACCGCTGTACATCGCAGCCCGACACCCAGGGGCACCTCCCGGCCACGATGAGGTAGTAAACTGTTGGGGGGATTTTTTTTTGCTAGTTTTGACACTTGTCGTATTTAATGTAGTTATTTCTCTTATATCTGGAATTTCATGCATTCTCTGTTGAATGACATTCCTCGTTATTATTACGTCACATTAGACGACAGTCAACTTTTGGTTTTCCATATTGCCATATGTTCATAACTAGTTGTGCGTCCACTGCGTCCGTGGATTCAACATTAGTGGCTTGACAGTCTTCTCCCAGAGCAACAGGTGCTGAGAATTCTTGACTACGTTCTTGGCTTCGTCGCTGTGTGTTTAAAGCCGAATCGGCCGATTAACGCGATTCTGTGAATTGTCGGATGAGTGTCACATTTCAATTAAGCCCTAAGTATCTACGCAGTTAGTCAGTGGTCTTCGCTCTGGCAGCAGCGGCCCGCTTGCACCGATCATTTCGGTTGTCGTGGACGAGCGGAATTTTCCACCACATGGTCCCCAATCCATCTAATGGATTACAGTCGGCGTTCCTCAACGAATCAAAAACATCAACCCAAACGTACGTTGTCGTTATGGACGTTCATGATGTTGTGCTACTGCTGCCATGTTCACCAGGTGTCTGAGGTGACAAATCCAGAGTTGAGTGACAGAATAGAAGGCGTTATGTTAATCAAAGAATTCTCGGCTATGGCTCCATGACCATATTTTCAGTAGAATTTTGAACAGTTCTATTCTACTATTCTATGCTCCCAAATGCGAGAAATATCCGTAGAACTAAGCATTTCCAAAAGTTTGGTCTTTGGACAACGAGATTCCTCTTGAACTCGTTCCAAGTTGTAACACAGTTGAGGTCATCTATTATTGTTCTTTTCTAAATGTCCTATTTGTTCAACTTTTTTCAACAGCCTATTTCAACTTTCATTTGTTTATAGTTTTGTTTTGGCGATGACGTCTTATAGTGGCTTATATGTTTCGATGAAGAAATTGTTTTATGAGGGAAAGGACTAGCTTGTATAAGGACCGATCAATAAGCTAACCGTTTGGGATTTTTAAATCCATGGAAGATTCAAAAGTTCCAAAATCCAAACACACTAGGAGAGCAAACTGCTTGAAATCGTTATTCCATTAGGAACGTAATGATGAATAAA